AGACTGAATAAGCTGGTTATCAAGATGAATCAACCATTTACTGATAATCTAAATATATGGGAGGCTTTTTCTTTTTTTTTTAAGCACTATCTCTGACTTCTAAGAGCTAACAACCAAGTGAGGGGAGAGTCATATGCTTTCTTACCTTTGATTCAAGGTAAACAGGCTCTACAGACAGTCCCCAACTTATGATGGCTCCAGTTAAAATTTTCTGACTTTACGATGGTACCAAAGTAATATGCATTCAGTAGAAACTGTATTTTGAATTTTCATCTTTTCCTGGGCTAGTGATATGCAGTATGATACTCACGATGTTGGGCAGCGGCAGAGAGCCGCAGCTCCCAGTAAGCCACAGGATCATGAGGGTGAAAATGCGATACACTTACAGCCATTCTGTACACACAACCATTCTGTTTTCCATATACAGTACAGTATTCAATAAATTATATGAGATAATACACTGTATTATAAAATAGGCTTTGTGTTAGATGATTTTGCCTAACTGTGGGCTAATATAAGTGTTCTGAGCACATTTAAGATAGGCTAGGCTAAGCTACAATGTTTGGTAGGTCAGATGTACTAAATGCATTTTCAACTTATGATATTTTCACCTTATTATGGGTTTTTCAGAATGTAACCCCATGGTAAGTTGAGGAAGATCTGATAAAAGCCCATTGTAAAATAAAGTGTTGACTATCTCATGTAATTTATTGAATCCTGTACTGAAAATGAAAAACAGAATGGTCCTATGGGTACGGAATGGTTATAAGTGTATCAGCTGTTTATCCTTGTATCAATAATCATGTGGCTGGCTGGGAGGTTGACTCCTTGCTTCTGCCCAGCATTAGGAGAGAGCATCACACCGCATACTGCTAGCCCAGGAAAAGATCAAAATTCAAAATTCGAAGTACAGTTTCTACTGAGTACATACCAATTTTGCACCATCGTAAAGTCGAAAAATCAGAAGCGGAACCATCTTAAGTTGGGGCCCATCTATTATAAGCATGGAACTAGAAAGTACAGAGGAGGAAAAAGAATCCTATAATAAAGCCAGAAGATCTACTTTCTTGATTGGCTGTGAATTTGCTATAAAGTATTTTTTTTTTTTTACAAAGAGGTACTCCAGTAATAGTTTGGGCAATACACTTTGGGAATAAATGAGTGACCCCCAGTGAAATTTTAAAAGAACAGGATTCATTTGGATGTAAAAGCTGTTTAATCTTCAATTAAAACCCATTTAATTTCTTTATAATCACAATTAATAAGAAAATTAGTATAAATGAATCCCTTCTGTTCATACAAAGCAAATAATTTATCCTTGGCCCTCTTCTCTTCTAATTCCTTGTCTTCCCCCCAAACAATTTCATCTGCTCTTATGGCTTCAATTTCCACTTACTGGCTAACTCCGAAATCTGAATCCCCAATCTCAGCCTCTCTTCTGGGCTCTGGATCCTCTCTTGACACCTCTATCTGAATGCTCCATAGACACTTCCAACTCACCATGTTCAAAACTGAAACAATTATCTTCCCGTCACATTAAAAATTAAATCAAGTTCCTCTATCCACAGTTTCCCAAGCTGAGAAACTTTTTTACTTTTCTGTTCACCTTCAAAGCCAATCACTTTTTAAGCCTTGTAATACCATCTGTCCTCTCCTCTTCATCTCTATTACTATTTTCCTACTCCAGGCCCTTATCCACTCTTATCTGGGCTATTTCAATAGCAACAGCCTTCTAACTTATCTCTCTACCTTTTGCCTCTCCATCCAATCCAGCTGCTATACCATACCACCACCATGTTATCTTTCCTAATTACTTAAAGTCCTTCCCTGGCTCTCCACTGTCTTTAGAATCAAGTCCAAAGTCCTCAGCATGATAAACAGGCTCTTCACCAAATGGCACCACAGACTTCTTTTTTCTCTTTCTCTGAGTCATAACTTTTTACTTGCATAAATCTGTATGTTGTTTTATAGTATATCCTGTACTTCAAAGTATTAAAACTACCTTTAACACCATATTCTAAAGTGAAAGATTATGCCAAACTGGGCAAATCTTCATTATTTCAAATGATAGGCACTGAAATCCCACACTTACCTTATTTCTAGAAACTTCAGCGATCCTAACGTGATTGGCAACCAAGCTCTGCAATTTTATTTTTTTCAGCTTATTTCCAGGCACCACCTTCTTTAGCCCAACCCCTCATCTCTATACACTCTGACTTTTAGTGACAATGTGGACTACAACACATTCCTCAAAAATACCATATACTTTCACATAATATTCCTGGTTTTCATCCATATCTTCTGTTCCCTTCCCCAACTCAGCAAACTCCTATTCATCCTTTAAAGCCAAATTCAAATATGGTTTCTCACTAATCCTCCTCCCCACCATATACAGAATTATCTTCCCTCATCAATGGTCCCATTAACTCTATATCTCTGCTATAACTCTTATCACACTGAAATGGTAGGGACTTATTTACATGTCTAGTTATAAGCATCTTGAAGGCAGGGAAACACTTTCTTTTCTTGAATCTAACTTTAACTTATGGTCTGAGAACAAACATTTTAAACTTCTTATTAAAATATAATCACCTCTTATAGTACTAAGATAATGCCATAATTGTAGTAACTGAGTGACTGAGGGCTTAGAAACAAGAAGAATCCCACATCATTCACCAGGAAAAAAAAATTCTCCTATATATAAAGTATAATTAAATTGTAGCTTGGATATGCCTTCATCTACTTCTTGCAATGCCAGTTTCTTTCTCTCTCTCTTTCTTTCCTTCTTTTTGAAGAAGTTCTTTACAGAACTTTCTTTTAAATGCTTGTTGGATTTCATTTGTATCTCACTCACAGAATTTTACACTCAATATAATGACGAGGTTAAGATCAGGATTTCTGGAGCCCAACTGTCTGGTTTGAGTCCTACCCAGCTCTGGCACCTAGGCTGTTTGATATGGGAAAGTTATTCAACCTTTTTGTTTCTCAGTGAGGAGATCATAATAATAACACCCCTCAAGATGCTGTTGTAAGGATTAAATAAGATAATGCATGTAAAGAATTTAGAGCACTGCCTGGCCCAAAGAAGGTCCCAATAAATGCTGGTTGATGTTATTGTTAACATCAGTTTTAAAAACAGCTTGTTAGCCCACTTGGTAAAGTGTAATCTCCTAGATGGAAGGAATTATATCCTGCCCATACATGAATATAGTATAAGTGCTAAAACTGTGCCTTGGAATGTATTAGGTGCTCAATAAACAACGTGAATATAAGGCTTCAGTCCTCCAAGATCAAAAAATTATAAATCACAGCAAAATTTATATATGGAGTACATGTTTGAAACTGGTGTTTCAAAGCATCCATCTTGCACTGAACTGTTGAAACGTGTAAAACTGTTAAAGCAACACAAAAATTACATTCACTAGAAACTTTCTCTCTACTCCTCCATTTAATTTGATCTTGGTATCCAGTGGTCTAAAATTCTTGTCTATAATGTACGACTTACTACAGATCATTTAAAACGTAATTTTCAGCTTTAGAAAAGTGCTTATTGTCGCATCAGAAAAATTAGCATTCTTCCTTTATATTTGCATTATTTTAAAAATCTATTGCCACACTCAACACAAAAAAAACTAATGAAAAGCCAAGAGACACAATTACTACATTTCCTGGTTTCTGCCTGGGAAACGACTTCAGAACACGCCTATAAGTATCCCTAGTCAAAGTCTGCTGGTTGCAAACTACTACTCTTTTTTCATTTCTGCTCTCGCACCACAACACCTCACACACACACCCACAGAAAATAATGCACATTGTCTAATAAAGGCTGTACCCCCAAAATGCGGCTACATATTAATTTTGTTTTGGAGGACTTAAATCTTACAAAAGCAAATACAAGTCTGATTTGAAACAATACTCCCAGCTTACTTTACCAGGTAACTTAAACTACAACTATTTATCTAAAGCAAAGACATAGATTGATTGCTACCAAACTTCTTGGTAAACGATCAGTAACAGTGTATCGATAATATATGCTATTCTAGAAAAATTCATTAATCAGTTAAAAATGGACCACACTTCCAACAATGGTGATTTGTGGAAAATGAGCTTAAGCAATTTATTTACACAGTAAACGAAGATGTAGGACTTGATCTAAAACACTGTAGGTGAATCACTAGCTTTAGAGTAAAGGTTTACAACGTGCCTACTATGTGCCTGGCACTTAGTAGTTGTTTTACAGAATATGCAATACCTAACACTTATGGAATACTCTCACGCATCTCATTTGACCCTCAGAATACCCCCAGGCATGCATGAGCATCTCGATTTTACAGCTAAGGAAACGTAGGCCCAGAAAAGTCTACTTGACCGAGGCATCACATCTGGTACGTGGGTCCTGGCCGAGGCTCCAGCCCCTGACTCATATTCTGATCACCTTCTGCCATACTAGTTAGAACTCTTAGATGTTCCAATGCCAGATTTTTAAATCAAAATCCTATTTGACAACTTTCACTACTGTGCTCGTCAGATTCTGTTAAGAATCAAAGCACAAAAAAGCAAAAATGTAAAGTCCGTCGTCTCAGCCTGTCGACGTTCAAGCGCCGTGGCTAATCCTGGAGAGAGCCCCATGTTTCTTCCTGGGTGCGGGGCGCTCCCTGCCTCTACCCCAGGACTGTCGAGCGTCCCCGAGCGCCACCTGGACGATGGTCCCCACGCCCCGAGGGGAGCGGCGAGGAGACCCTCAGCCAGGCTCCGCCACAACCTCCGAGGCCGACGAGCGGGCTCCCAACGCGCGGCGTCCGCTGGGCGCCGGGCTGCACGCTCGGGCGTCCCTCCAGGCCGTGGAGGTGCCGAGAGAGCGTGGGCGGCGCCGACACCTCCGCCAGCCCGCTGCCGCGCTGCGGCCGGACGGCGCCCGACGCTCCGTGGCCCCGCTCTGCGACACCCTCCGCCGCGAGGGTCCGAAGCCCCTGCCTCGCACCCCGCCCGGGTCTCCCTACCCCTACTTGCTCTCGTCCTCGACGCCGCCTCCGCGGCTGGGTTCCGAGGCTCTCGTCCTCCGCGCAGAAGCGCCCAGTCGGCTCGCTCCCACTCTGGGTGGGCTCCGTCCCGCCCCCACAGGCCCGGCCGCAGGCCCCGCCCCGGCAAAGTCCTGTTCTTATTGGTTCCTGTTCCCACCCCTCACGGTCGGGCCCGCCCCCGGCACCGCCCGGGGACCGTCCAGAGGGGAACCGCCCCCTCTGGAGTTCGGCGTAGGGGCCAGAATCTTGCCCAGGACCTTGGGCGCCGAAAGGGTGCGGCCCCAGGAGGCAGGCTACGGGCGCCACTGTCGTCCAGCCGAGGGCCTCTAGCCAAAGCTCCTTCGCCGTCGCCGTGCCTGCCGTCCGACAGGCCCCACGGCGAAGGACCAGAACTTTACACGAAGGTTGACTCCTCACAACCACCCGCGAGAGAAAGCCTAATCAAGGAATGCAAATGGCACCTCACTCAAAGAAACCATAGAATTGTCTCCTGCCACCGGGCTCAGTAGGCCTGGTGTCTCCAGTGAAAGAGCAGCACCATTTCTCGGGCTGAGCTCAAGGAGGAAACAAACATTTCTCCAGCTATTGCAGTACAGCGCCTACTTGAAACATACACAGATGCAAATGACGCTCCGGACACCTGAGGCTTGAAATCCCAGAGCAGGGTTGCCTTTGATACTCCCAGTGCCTGAGGTCGGCTCCCACGCCCTGTTGTGACACACATGCTTAAGCGCTACGCCTGCAACACACTCATACTCAGGTATGTGCATGGCGCAGTGCCTACTGCGAGCAGCAGCCCAGTTTCACTAAGGCTGCGAGTCAAGGATGATTTGAGCCTGTTTCCCAGGCACTTGCTAACCACCCCACCCTGCCTCTGCCCGCCCGACTCCACCCTACCTCACCCCACCCCCACCAGAACCTCTTGGATTTGGTGATCAAACTCCCCATATCTGTTCGCATAGAGGTACCAAAATAGAAGACGGCCAGAAAGAGCAGTGTTTGGCTACACATCACAGATGACTGTCACAAGCCAACGTAGCCAAAGCAATAAAAGCTGCACATCCCAAACCACTGTGAAACCATGAGCCGTGGACAATGAAACAGGAAGTCTCTTCTGTGATGGGGGGGGGAAAGAGGAATGACAAGACATATTTTTTTGACAAGACATATTTTTAATCATGTCTCAATGAGGAAATAAATTTGTAGTAAATTTTGAACACTGATCTTTATGGACTCCTCCTGCTCACCACCAAAAAATCCCTTATGTATTTAGAAAACTTCCCAAACAATTGTTTAAGATAAAATTTGGGGCTAGAATAGTGTGGCTTTGGAATTTCAAATTTATTTCAAAGTTCAAATTGTGAATTCCAGGAGATTATATGACAAAATGAGCAGACCGAATTCCAAGTACCAAACTGGAAACCAAATCTGCATGGATGTAATAAATGAATTAACATGTATGTATTCTACTGCCCTCTCATGGGTAAGATGGAGATATACATAATGGTAGTTCATGCCTTTTAAAATCTGAGAATAGAAAGTTTAATTTGGCAACTTATATTATTTTGATGACAAAGACGCCAAGGTAAAATAAAATCAGGTTTTCCAAGGGACTTACAAATACTCAGCAAACAGAACTTCAACTTCAGAAACCAGGGAGAGCATTCTAACACCAGGGCTAGTACAAACATGCTGTTGGGATCACGCCTATGCTTATGGCTACCTGTACAGAATGTGGAAGCATGCAGGAATTTGCTTTTAATTTTTTTTTCCATTTGAAACGTCATTACTTTCTGAGATGTTTCACAAAATGCTCTTTTTCACTTTTGTATCCACTCATGCTATAACTTCTTGCTGTGAATAACTTGAGAGTAGAAGTGAAATCTTATTCTTTATATCTTTGCTGCCTATAATAGTACCTGGTACTTTAGATGTTTGATCAGTAATTGTTTATTGAATAAGTGAAATGAAGTATCAGCCCAACCACTAGATGGCAACACAACTGTATATGTATAGAAGTATGGTCTGGCTAATTGGATTGAATTCCACCTGACCTTGAGTAACAGGAATGTTTCTAAAAAGTTACACGTGTATCTTATTTTGGTAAGTGAAATCGTTTAAAACGTACCACTACAGCTGACTATAACTTTATTGTCAATTATATCCTTAAAACTAAGAATCCTTTCATAAGATAAATTCTCCATAAGTATAATAACTCATAATTACAGATTTTCTATCTTGGGGTACACCTGTTCTGTTTTTGTCTAAGAAAGCCACCCTTCAGATGTATCCTGTCAAAAGGACTTTTCAGAAGTCTAAGTGCCTATAGCAAGTTTCATTCTATAAACCAAAAGCCTACATTCTCCCTATATCAAATCATTTGCTTGTTTTTGTTTTTTTAAATATTTATTTGGCTGCACCGGGTCTTAGTTGCGGCAAACAGGATATTTTAATTGTGGCATGCAGGATCTACTTCCTTGACCAGAGATTGCACCTGGGCCCCCTGCATTGGGAGTGCAGAGTCTTAACCACTGGATCACAAGGGAAGTCCCATCATTTCCTTGTATTTTTGCCCTGCCTTAATAACCGTTTTGCCTGGAAGTCATGGACACTCAAGAGTCAGAAAAACCCAGGTCCCCATTGCTACCTCTCACTAGGTGCATCCTTGTGCAGCTTATTTTTTTTATCAAAGGTCATTTCTTTTTTTAATTAAGGTATAGTTGATGTACACTACTATATGTTACAGGTGTACAGCATAGTGATTCATAATTTTTAAAGGTTATATTCCATTTACAGTTATTATAAAAAATTGGCTATATTCCCTGTGTTGTACAATTGTGCAGGTTATTAACTTCACCAACCTCAGTTTACTCATCTTCCCCAAAATGGAGGTAGTAATACCTATAAAGTTGTGCAAAACATTAAATGAAATAATGTCAATGGAACAATATCTAATACAATCTTTGGCTTGTAGTAGGGATTCAATAACTGGTAACTATTGTTATTCACACTCTACAATGAAAATCTCACCCATATTATTATTTGGTTTATTTGTTTTATTCTCCTGATTTAATGCCTTCAGCAATTAAATTAAGTTCATAACACCAGGTTTCGTAGCGATAGGCCATGCGGATTTGGGCCACATTTGTCTTTCGGATATCATTTCCAGTAGGACCTTCTTCAAGGTAATTGTCGCCCAGAAACTTTGCTTTCTCCTATAAGAGAAAAGGAAACAGAATGATTGTTGTCTCTTTTTACCCTGATATAGACAATAATTGCATCCTCCACCAAGATTCCTTCCTTATGTTAGCTATGCAAGAGGAAAACAATAAACCATTAAAAGCACTCATCCAGCACCTCAATGTGCGCGGTCTGCTGAGAAATCAATTATATTTTATTTCCCTTGCCCAAAAAGCATGGCCAGAGAGACAGAATAATTTTTTCTAGTCCCTGTCCATAGAAATTGCACATGATTTGTGAAATAATTTTTCAACATGTTTCCCCAACTAATTTTTCAATATTCAAGTTGCCAAATTCTAAACTCAGAAGGAGAGCCAGTCAAGGGCAGGTCTACCTCATGAGAAATTCCACATTGCAGAACACTGTTTCTTGCCACTTCACACATATCACAGGTACTCAGCTTGAAGACTTGTGCAGCAATGGCATATTCTTCCATTAGGGGCTCCTTGGGTTATTTATTTAAATGAGTCCAAAAAAAAAAGAAGAAAAAGGAATGCATTAAAAGAAATAACCCACATCCTGCACAAAAAGAATAATGAAATATCTTGATTTGACTTTAAAATTCTGGGTGGTAAACAACATTTCAGCAAAAATATACTTGTATTACTCAAAATTCCATATGTGTACCTTGGTGAAGTGGAATTGCATCGGGTCATCTGTAGACAGTGAGATCATTAGCCCTTTCTGGAGGAAATCTAAAAACGGATTTTTGGCATATTCTAGAAATAAGCTGTTGTTACTTAATGGCGACATAGCGATGGGAATCTGGGCTAAGAAAAACAAATACTGTAACACAGGACTCTGTAAAGGAAGAGTGAAAAAAATTTTTTTTCATGTTGAAAAATGGATACAAACTAGAAAAGTTGAAACTTTCTGGTTACCTCAAGTTTTACCTTTCAACAAAATTATCACCTATTCTTTAAATCCCCTTGTAAAGAAGAATAATAGATTTTAAGTGTAAATACTATTTAGAAGAAATTTATTTGGGGTCAATTTTCAGAAGCATTGCGTCAAACCCAGTTGTTTGTGTTTTAATTGTCTAAGTTAGATGGCCCATCTTAGGCAAAAGACTTCACCTTGAAACATTTTTTTTCTCTACAAAAGTTCTGACTCACACCAGAGGCATTTTAAAACATGCTATAACATGAAATCTGGTGAAAACCAGTTTCAGGTAAGCCAAGCTGCCTCTGATTTATCCCTTGTCAGAGTTCTAAAATGCAAGTCAGGCGACCTGCATTAACTCCTCCCTCACCAACTATCTAGGTAATCTTGAGCAACTTCCTTTACTTCTCCGGGCCTCTGTAAAATGAGATGCACTGAATAATCTCAAAAATCTTTTTTGCTCTACTTTAATTTGATTCCAGTGTTGATAATGACTTGTGACAGAATGATAAGGGAAAAAAATGCTGTTCCTCTAGCTCCAATATAAAAGTTAATATTGAGAAGAGAGCTTCCAACTCACCTTTTTTAAATTCAGGGCATGAGAGATATTATCCGCTGTCATGAATGCTGTCATGAGATGGGTGAGAGCTCCAGCTTCCCCACAGTGAGGTCGGAACAGAAACGTATTCATGCCTCGTTCCCTAGGGAAACGGAGCTACTATAGCAATCACAGGTGACTGACTGGGACCTGGCAACAATGCTGGGTATAGAGTGATTTATAAGAAACTCTGGTAGGAAACACCAGAACACTCTGAAAGGGAGTGGGGTATCCAAAGTATTCAGCAAAACTGACAATTCCAAATCATAATCTTAATCCTTCCCAAACACAGACTTTTCGAAAAAAGAGACAACATAGGATATGAGGGTATGGAGGAAAGTTTTGATTACCTGAACAGAAACAT